TACCTTAATTATTTATGGCAAATATCATAGCTTCGCAGCCCGAACAAACAGTGCCCCCACGCAGAACGTAAATTAATGAAAATTAAATGAAAATATGACGCTCAGTACATTTGCACTAATAATAAGTGAGCGAATATAGCTTAGGCTGCGGATTTGGAAGCACATTGGACGAGATTATCAAAAAACTATTTTTTTATTAAAGGATAGTTTGCCACACAGACACATCAGAACAGCTCAAGCAGCCAAATTGTAAATATGTTTGACCAGAAATGATCTTTTACTCAGAAGTTAGAGGAGCGCACTTACAATGAGGTGTGTGTTGGGTAACTTTGCTCTGGTTCTGCGAGTCATGTTCTCGTACATATGACTTAGAGCCGTATAATCCGAACTAGAATAAAGCAATTTTAGTAATTGAGCGAAATCAGGTAAAAGAAGCGATACTTTTCCTCAGAAGATTGTCTTAATCTATCTGTGGAGGTGAATGTGCATAAATGTAAGTTAAAATAAAAGAAAAAAGTATAAAATAAACCAGTTTTTGCAAACAGTTGTTAAAATATGTAAATTAACACGAAATTGCCTGAAAACTTGGCATCTGGCCAACATTTGCTGAGCCAATCTGGACAAATTCTCGGCGGTACTGCCTAAAATGAAGGCAAAGGAAAGGGGCTGAGTGTCGTGGGGGAGGGGAGTATAAGTCATTAAATGTCAGGCTAAAATACATAAATATCCGAATACATCTATATATGCATGCATATGCATATGTGCTTACGCGGGCACACACACACACACTCATTCACGATACAATGCCATAAGAGTACATTTTTTATACTAAAACTATGTAAATTTACTTTAATCTCATTCTACACCGCACTCAGCCAAACACAACTTGTATGCGTTCACTCGCATGTAGGCATACACATCCGTGTGACTGCGTTTGTGTGAAAGCACCAACTGTTGACCATTTTGTTATCAATTAAATATTTAATATGATCTAAAATGTAAGCAATCTGCTGCATGGGCATATCCAGGCTCGTGCATGTACTTGTACGTATGTACGTATGTGTGCGTGCTCAACCTTTTTATGCAATTTGCTGTTCTGCGGCACACACTTTAATTGACTCTCATCTCATTGTGTTATACAGAGTAGGAGTATTGCAGTACCGTACTATAGCATATCCTTTTCTACCTTTGTTGATTACAATTGCTGTTAGTTATGTGTTTGTGTGCGTGTTGTTTCTTCTTTTTTTGTTGGGCTAATTGCAAAATATACGAAAATATCGGAACAGTAAGTGGGTCACTTTTGATTAAAGTCCTCAACACGTAACATCGCCATCAACATCACCATCACCATCATCATTATCAACACGATCATGATCGTTTTTGTCGCTACTAACTATTTACCAATGCCGCCGCTATACAACTACATCATCCCACAACTATACTACCATACAATACTATCTGTTATTAATGGTGTTATGTGTATGAGTACATGATTGGTTTTTGGTTGTTGGTTAGTCGGTTGGACGTATGTGCACATATATCCTCGAATCAGCCCTTAAGGTTCTTTATAAAACCATCGCAAATTATATATTAACGTGTGTACAAATAACCGGGTATATGTGTATGTCTATGGTGAGCTTGGGAATGTGTTCGCGTGTGGGTGCTAGTTTATAAAGCTCTGTGCCTTCTTACGCCTGCATACATGAGGTTTCGACCCCATTCGGGTGCATGTGACTGTAGAATATTCTGCGGTTAACACGTTTGCCGATATCATCAAATATTACAATTCGTACTGAATGGAGATGGGTGCGCGTGAGTAAATATAATATATTTTCGATTCTACACTAATGTGTTCATCCGTAGATGCATGTACTTATACTTATGTTTGTATGTGTGAGAAGCACATTAATTATTGGCAGAGGTTTTAACCTAAATTTTATTAAATTTAATTTTAATATTTGCGTTTCTTGCTTACGTCCGCCAAACGATCGAATGACCACAACCCAATTTTCCATTGCTATAGCGTATGATACGGCTAAGTAACACTCCGTCAAGCTCATGTAAAAATAAAATCCATGTGAAACAATTGTTTGGACTTAGGAGAAACTTTTTTGCCACTAACGAAGTATATTCGCTGCATTGTAATTGTTCAGTTGCTTTCCTACGATGTATTTGTCGAGCTTTGACATCGCTACGTATGGGTGATATCAACTCATACACTTAATGTGTGGGAGGTCAATAGACGGTATAGCGGATAGTTTGCCAGACGTCTTCCTACAGGTTCATTAAAATTAACAATTTGACATCATAATCCTCATTAACGGGACGAAAAAAGTAAGTTGTGCTCATCTCGTTGTAGTTGGTCACTTCATACTCCATCATTCACTTCTATTTTTGTCCTCCTATGGTGTTTTTCATCTTGAATTTAAAAATTCAAAAAGCAAAGGGTTAAATCTTATCATATCGACGTTTCAATTTTCTATTCACTACCGAATTCACTTTACATCGAGAGAAAGACCATTTCATGCAATGAAAATTTGAGCGAAATCTGAATAGCAGCTTCCGCATTGTGCGCAAATCAAATTTGAAACCAGTTTACCGCCTCGGTTTTCGTAAGATTTCCCTATAAGAAATTTATTTTTAGCAGTTGACCTTCCAGCAAGTAATTAATTAATTCAACTTAAGAATGTTTTCACCCTACAATTTCAACTGTATTTAATAAGAGCCAATAAACTTTTCCATCTTCTCGATAAAAAATATCTTCGTTCCAGGATTACAACTGACAACAATAAACATCATCTCACCTCGAGTAACTTTTTGATTAAATTGAAACAAATAACCATTTTCCGAGTACTTATTGCACAACTAGAGATTCACATTTTAATCGTAATGCATCTTAACCGAACACTTTGATTAAATAAATACGACTTTTTGCTCCCAAAGGGCGTTAATCAAAGAATTTGTTTGAAATGAAAAGTTCATCTCTTTTTTATAGACTTAAAAATTAGATGACTGCGCCCATTCCTCACTCCTGAAGCGTATACAGAGGTCACTGTGATTTACTGTCTTATCCTTTCCATTTTTATGCTTTATTATGTAATATACGTAAAAAATTCTTGCAGATAAGCATGAAAACACTCCTTACACAAGACTCTAGTTGAACGTTGCTGCACATTACAGGCAGCGCGATGCCGTGTTGCTTTCATCGCGGTTGCAACTATGTATTTTTTCATTCAAAGCAATTTCTGGAATCTCACAACGAAAACAAAACAAAAACGAAAGAGAGCCCAGCATAAATCAGACCGGAATCAATCAAACATTGATAGGACGTACAGGCAATAGTTGATGATAGATAATCCCACACCAAGTTTCAATTATATGATTTAACAGCCTTACCATACACACCAACCTACATCCGAGGGACGTCAAACTTATTATTTTGTTGATTGTCTCAAATCGCTTCTAATACGCATTCCTTTCCACTCGGTTGACTGATGCCCGTATTTGTCATTTTCATGACCGCAGTGCGACACTACCACCCAGCGGACAAAAGACATGAGATAATTAGCTTTAAATACGCATCTCTGCCTGGTTACAGTTTCTCGTGTAGCTGACTTACTAGCCGTCTCTGGTTGACCGGCACTTAAGCTCCCTCTAAGCTACATTCATGGTATACATTATGTGAATTCTAAGATTATTTTAAATCTTTGCAAACAGAGTTTATGTTAATTTCCTCCTTTTACACTGAAACTACACTTCAATATCATCGCTGTAGCAAATAAATTTCTAAAACTTAGCAGTTCTTTGTGACCTGATTGAAATACGCATCGGTGGTTCAGTGGTACAATGCTCGCCTGAAACGAAAGCGGCCCGGCTTCGATTCTCGCCGATGCAAGTCCAGTGTTCTACTTACCTTTAAGAAGGGAAGGTCGCTTAAATTATAGGCATACATACGCATGGACATAAATATGAACTCTGAAGTAAAACCCTTAAGATGCATGCAGGAGGTGGAGTGGATTTGTTGATCATATGTTGATGCCATAGAACAATCATTTGTGTATGCATACTACAGTTCCCATTAATCGGACTGATGGAGTATGCCGTACTTATCGTATACACTAAAAACAAACAAACTCTTCTTCTTATCTACAAATATCAGTTTTCTCAGCTTTGTTTGCAAAACTTTGATGAGAGGAACAAGTGTTTTGAAACTCTATAATTAGAGAAGCACCATCTGCTAAACTTGACGCGCTTGTTGGCGTTGTTTTACACTCATCAGCTTCCAGTTGATTTCGGCTCTTAATGCTGACGTATGCTTGTTGCGCATTTATTTATAAGATGCTGACAACGTTTGTGAAAGTTTACTCAAGCTTTTTAACGATTTCTTTCGCATTTTTGATGCAAATTAATCATGCAAGTGGTAAAGTAGCCATTAAGCCAGCAGATGATGTAGACGATCTGACGGAAAAGTTTAACAATGTAAACCTGGAACGCGTCGACGTACAAGGTAAAGTGAAATGGATGAGTAAAACTCTCTGTGTGTCTCACCATACATTTCGGAGACGGAATTTTTTTGCAACCAATGCCTATTTAGTATATAAACGAAATAGAATCTGTTTGCTCGAGTTTAAAAGAATTATATAACTCAGTCGGCAATGTTAACACAAACATAAATACACTTCAACTCGGAAAAGTTCTCAACAACGGCGTCGAAATACTCGCGGTTAATAAGAAGTCGGCCTTCGCTGTTAATATGACGTCGGCCTTCTGGAAGTAAGCAACAAAACAATAAATAAATTGTTTAACGAACATTCGAACGTTTCTTCTTCGGTAGCTTACGCTAGGTGATTATTTTTTCGCTCACTGTTTTTATAAATTCGTTGAATGTTCGCATAGACCAGATAATACCTAATGAAAAGACTTCCGAATAACAAAGTTCGTTTCTTAAGTGAGCCATCAACGTCACTGAGCAATTGTGGTTCAAGTTCAAGGTTAACGCAGTGACTGCAGTGCAGACAAAGCTTTCTCCTCTTATGTAGGACTATCTCGAGTGTTACCTACATGATTGTTGCGCTAAAGCAACAGACAAGTTATATTTATTCCTCTGCTTATGTTTGAGAACAAATTTCTGTAAGGAATTAATGGTGACAGTGCTAGAGTCGAAAGTAGAACTGAAAAAATGTTCAACTGTGTGTTTGTTTGGCCGAGCAAAAAACCCTGATTTTTTCGAAAATATTGCCTATGTAACAAAACAAATTGGTGTACCTTACTACTTCAAATATATAACATAATGCCTTTTCCCAGTTATTTCGTAATGCTGTTCAAAATGTGAACCTATTTCTCCTTATCTTCCAGCAGATTTTCGTATGGATTTTCTATTCACCAAGGATGTAGGGCGTTTCATTATATTGAAACTCATGTAGATTAATAAATGCATTAATATGTAAAAATAGCTCATCATCTGTAAAAGGGGTTATGTTGTGTCTTCACCTTTTTACTTTCACGTTTCGTTAACTTTTATTGATTACAGTCCGCTTCCACTTACAGCCTTAGCCGAACATTGCATGTATTGTAAGACGAAACAAGTGCCAAGCCAGGAAAAGGAAATGATTGCAGTCACAGGAGCATGTTTACATAGTCGATTCTTTATCCAAAAGAACAACAACAGAATGAAATTTCGATGCGTTATAAGATTGAATGAACTCAGCCGATTTTTCTATGTCTTGCAGGTGCTCTGCGAACAGCTACAGAATATATGTGAAAACTTTTGTCTTCACATCTGCTGTAGTTTATGAGCAATGTATGAAAAGCCGGCTTTTTTGCTTTTAGTAACACATGTATGCACAGATGTACTGTGGGCGTGTGCTTTGACCGATTTGGTTCATCTTCAGTTGGAACTTATCTACCAAGCCTTTAAATGTTTTTGCCGAACTTAAAGCGAACATCTTAAATTTGGCGATCGGAAAACTAATCGACGCAGACAGACACACAAACACACATATGGAAGGACAGGTATCTCTAGATCAATCCACAATTTGATAGTAATCAACCATATATACACTTGATGAAGTTTCCTTCTGGGTGTTGGGTTGGTTTTGACAAAATGAATCCTCCTCCTCCTTTGTTGAAGACATCTATCCCATACTTTGTCGTAGATATAAGAATGAGCCATGCAGGTATATAGAAGTTTTGAATATAACTTTGAAGAGCACAACACACACAAGGAATTCATTTTTACACAGCTACATAGTACGGCGACTTACGTTTTCGTATGCGTAATTGTCCGGCGACACTTTCCAGCCAATACATTGCAATACGACTACGAGTTAAAAATCAATCTTTGCTATTATTGCGATATTGTTGTTCCTGTGGATAAAGCGTTTGTTAATTTGTATTTTTCGGGCGTTTTATGCATATTTCTAGGTCCGCCTTGCTTACTGGATATACAAAAAGATTTTCCGGACGTGAATGAACCGCAACCATTATACCTCGTGCCAGGTACGACTCAGTTCTGGCTACCAAACGAAAGAGGGCTCTTGTCGATACCACGCGGTGCTACCATTGAACTCCATTGTTCAAAGGGATTCTCCAATGCAACGAAACAGTATAATGAAAGCAATGGGCTCAAGATGCTGCAAAATTCAAGGACAATATGTCTACGCTGCTTACAGGATAAAATATTTCTGTGGCAGGGCGAGAAACATGAGCTGCGGCAATTCGTTTGTACAGAGCACATACGCTACAAGGTTGAACGTACGAATGAGCCATGCGGCATGATGCCGGCGACAGGCATGACAAACGCAGCAATGTCATCATCAGCTCGAGAATATCGCGTTGGTTTTAGTGCAACTCTTAAGGGGCGATTTCTGGAAACAATGCGCATTTGCTATGATGAGGCATTGCTGAGAACATATTACGTACAACATACATTGTCCCCGGCCATCCTTCATATGCAGAAATTTGTAAAGCGTTTGAGTTTCAGCAAGGCCGGATATTTCGATGACCTGGACATTAACTACTTTTACAAGCGAAAAAACCAACATGAACGGGTGGCATTGCTGCTGA